AGATGGCCGAAGCAGCCGCGGCCGAAGGCCCCCCCCTGCCCCCCCCTCCCCATCGTCGTCGCTTCGATGCTGCGGTTTCTCGGACAAGAGATCTGCGGGCAGATGCGTGGGCCGACGACGGCTGCCTCGGCCAAGCCCCCCCCCCCCCCGTTAGATGCCCGCTGGGCGACCCGGGCACGTGGATGCGAGCATTTCGCCTGAGACATCCCATGAGTTCCGGCCGCCCACGAAGCCCCCGCCCCAGACGTCCCCCGACTCTGCGCGACCAACATGTCGCCTGGGACATCCCCAACAAACTGATGCAAAACAAATGTTTCGCTTGGGGCATCCTCATAATTCCAAGCAGCATCCCTCTTCATGGATCATTGGCTGCCTCGGCCAAGCCCCCCCCCCACCGGCTGGCCCGGCCACTGGCCGCCGCCGCGTGCCCCCCGGGCGGGGCGGGCGGGAGGCAAGGGGGAGGTATGGATTGGAGAGGAAAGAGGAATGGTGATGATGATGGCGACGTTTGACATCGCGCGGAGCTCTGAGCTGCGGCAGATCCTGTTGCGGCGCGCGAATCATTGCCGATTCCGTCGCGGCCGAAGCAGCCGAAGAGCAGGTCCTAAGGCCTACTCGCATGGCTCGACTGGCGCGTACTCCCCGCAGCTCAGACAGAGCGCGTCGCTGCTCTATTGGAACGGCCCCATAACCTGCGGCGAAAGGCCCGCAGCCGCGCCCGGCATCGTGCTTAGATATGTTGTTAACGCAGCAATTTGACAATGAGCATAGCAATACAGAAGATGCCTTTCTTACTGGAACTATGATGTAATGAATATTGGAGGTGTATGAGCTTCGCCGTTGCTGGTGTATGCCAACAAGATAATAATAGCTACATAACGTTGGTTTGTTCTGACCACTATAACAAATATTACAACCTCTATACTCGTAGCAGCAGGCAGAAAACATTAGCTGATGGAACAACTTCTCTAATTAGAAAGGTTGAAACAATTGGCGATCATATACTATTGAAGAGTAACTCTGACATCAGCGCTGATGTCATCCGTAGAGATGAGCTGGTTCGGAGCCTCAGGGTTGCAAGTGCTGCAAGACCGCCTCAGCCTTGAGTGCATAACTTTTAGCGGTGCAGAGGCGCCGAAACTTTCGAGCCAAAGCAGCTGCTCGTCGGAGGGTCGCTGAGAGTAGAGAAAAACCCGACATGTTCCTGTGGGTAGTGGAAGATCTGAGTGGCCGGTTCCATTCTGGTTCTGGGCCACGGCGGTCGGCTGGGCGGATAACGATGACGAGGAGAACGGGGAGGAAGAAAGGGGAGGGGGGGTGGGAACTCGGGGATGGGGGGGGGAGCGGAGGAGGACGGGTCTTTTGTCCAGTGCCAGCCTAGGCGTCCACGGACCGATGATCCAGCGGCCGCTTCGCACCGGCCGAGGTCTCCGCGGGCCCTCACAGCGGCCGCCTCCCGCAAGGAAAGCGCGCCTGGCCCCATGTGGCCAGGCATGGCGAATTAAAAAGATCGGCCGAAGCAGCCGTATGATGATCACGAGCTGCTGGAAATCTACGCGTCATGCTGCCAGCGCCGCTAGGTGGTGGCCCCCAGCTGCTGCCTGTAGGAGTCGCAGCAGGTGCCCGGCGGTGGCCTGGCGCCTGCCGCGTGGAGTGCGGCGCGAGCCATCTTCTTATTCAGCCAGAAGGGCGCTTTGTGATGGCTATGCTTCCACTCCGACCGGGCAGGAGGCGCGTGGCATGCTGATCTGGGCCTGCTGCGTCTGCGGCTGCGGCGTGCTGAACTGGGCCTGCTGCGCTGTCGCGGCCGCCCCCGCGACATTTTGCGCCGCCGCGTGTTGCGCGGCTCGTGCAGCTATCATTGCGGCGTCCACCGCCTGCTCCGCGTCGTTACTCAACTCTGCAAGCGCAGCCGTAAGCTTAGCGATCTGCTCCTGCTGGTAGAAGGTCTGCTTCGCCTGGCGCGAGGAGACGGCGCTGCCTAGGTCTGCGGGCTGCCGCCGCCATCAGCAAAGGCATTGGAGATCCCGTGGCTGGCGAGCCCGCGCCACCATCTGCATCCTGCTCCTCTGGCACCTCGTCGCACCCCGCGGGCTGATTCAAATCATACCACATGTCAGCATCATTGACTATGGCATGGTAGTCCGCGGGATGCTGCTGATACCACCTGGGATGACCCCAGGTGTTGTCAACTGCTTGATCATCTGAGTCTGGCACGTACCCCGTGGGATGCTGCTGATCCCGCTCCATGTCAGCCTCCCGGGTGTAGTCTTCGGGCTGATGCCACATCATTGCTGACGCCATGCACATGTTGATCAGCTCTCCTGCGGGAGTGTGTTGCGCAAGGGCATGAGGTGGCCCTGTCGCCCGACTTCGCATCCAAACGTCATCCCTGAGAGGCAGCTGGAAATATTTAGCCAGTTCAAACCAATCTTTGACGCGGCGCACGCGGTTACTCATGACCGTCCGATCCAGCCAGCGTGGCCAGTGAGTGTCCTCGGTTTGATGAACTGGAAGACTGCACCAGGTGAGCGTCCATCACCGGACGACGCAATAGACGTGCATGCGTACTCGCCAGTCTGGTCCATGAGCACTGACCACAGGGCCTCTGGATCGTTGTCAGACATGTGAGTGATGCGTGCCCGCTTTGCGTGGACTCGTTTGCCAACCAGCCGCCCTTCTTTGAAGTGCTCAAATGCTGGCGCCCCTCTAGGCCAAAGTGCATGATACCGCGCTGCATGAGGAACCTCACGACGCAGTGTTCGATCGTCATGCCTCTGCGAGTAGAGGTCCACTTGCCTGAATCAGTTCTGGGAATGACGCGAACAACGACTGATCCATACTGCTGGGCAACGAACAACACGAGGAATGAGTAGGCGCCGTACGACACTGAATGCCAGCATGTATCCCATTGGGGTTGAGAAAGCAAACCATTGTGCCAACACCAGGTGTAATCAACATCGCCACTGCGCCTTTAAAGGGTGTAATGACGATCTTAATCCCGAAAAAATTGCATCGTTTTTATTCACAAAATGTGTGGCACGAGGTGTGCATTCCAACCCGGCGCCGTCGGCATTCTGCACACCCTTGACGCTCAGCACATCGCCCACATCGACGCCGAGCTTCGGCACCCCATTACATGTGCACCGCTGTGGTCACTGTCCACGGGGCGGGCGCGCCAAGAGTGCGCCGAATCAGCGCTGCTTAAGCCAAAATATGGTAATTGAATACGGAGGAGGAGGAGGAGGAGGAGGAGGAGGAGGAGGAGGAGGAGGAGGAGGAGGAGGAGGAGGGGGAACGGTGCGCTGTCTTGGACCATTGTGGGCCACCCTGGTGAGAACGTCGTGTGCCGTCTTGGATCATCTTGGGCCGTCTCGGCACATCCCGGACCGTCTTGGGAGTCATTCCCGGGGCTGTCGGCGCCTCGCAGGGGCCTCTGCAGGGGAATCGCGGGCGCGGGATGGAGGGCGGGGTCTGGGGTGAGTGGAACCACTGCCACTTTGGGTCAGAACGGCTTGATCTCCTCTCTCTCCCGAGATCATCAACTTACCGACACGGGGTCACCTGGCCTCTACTACCAATTCGAAGGAGGGCAGGGACGATCCACGCGCGCATCTTATTCGACCTCCCGACCCAGCGCGACGCAGTCGAGGACATGCTCAGGAACGAACCGCAGCAGTTAATCATCAATGTCGTGAAGGGCAGATTCTGGCGCTACTTCATGGAGCTGGAAACGTGGCTGCCAGTGGCGGCTACAGTCCGGGTCGACCCCAGCACGCTGGACATCACGACTCAGGGTGCGATCATCAAGAAGACGACCCAGGCAGAGATGTCCATCTACTTCGGCGCCGAGCTGAATATCTACAAGTGTTATGGGCAATCCCCTGATGGAGATCCCATTGGCGACGACGATCTGCGAACCTCATCCAGTGGATCTACGTCCGCAAGTGAGTAGGTAAGACCGGCGACGGCGACGGCGCCGCCAGTTCCGCGCGCCTGGCCGTCGACATGTCCGAGGTTGAGACGCGGGTGGCTTACGACGGTGACTGGGGGCGATGCTGCCGAACCTCGATGGGGCCCACGCGCGGTCGCCCATTCGTCAACGCGAGCCGCCTGAAGCGCAAGGCGCTCGAGGAGTTTGGGTTCGCGGACATTGGCGAGCTCGTCCTCAGGGCCGCCGACCTCCACTACAACGGCGGGGGGGAGATGGTTGTCCCAGCGCTCAGGCCCAACGAGCGCATCATTCACCTCAAATGGCACTCGCTGGTCGTCAGCAAGGCCATGATTGACTTCGCGCTCGAGGGCCTCGAGGGTGAGCAGCGATGTGCCGCGGCGTGGGGCGCGCAGCTGTTTCGGCCGATTCAAGCGAATATATGTATAGTATATATATATATGATATAGGCGAATAGCGGCTGGGGCGCCCCGGGGAGTTTGAAACTCAGCGCGGCCCAGCGCCCGGCCTTGCAACATCTCGTCCAGGCGCGCATGCGCGGGCGACGATGCAGTCATGTGCGCACTTGGGGGTGCCAGTAGTTGCGGGCGGCCGTCGCTTGCGTAGCCCAATGTAAAACGTTGTGAAATCAAAATAAGTGTTACACATGTGTTCATCGGGACAGCTTGGGTCGTGCTGCTGATATTCAAGCCCCAGCGCCAATGATCGCTTCAGGGAGGGTGGGTTTGTCAAATGCACGCCCCGATGCTGTGAGACCCAGGGGGCCGCCCTCCATCCGTGCTGTTTCGCAACGTTCAACGCTCGGTCAGTCGGGGGGCCCCAAGCGAGAGCCGCATCATTGCAGAGGGTCCGCTATCCATCCTCGCAGTTGGCGCACATCGTTGTTCTAATCATCTTTTCACGATCCCGATGTCATATAACAACTCCACGACGCGACGCGCCCGTAGCCATTCGGCCCAATTTATTTTTTTTGCAACAACGCGCAACGTCAACTCACAACCCCATTTCCGCGGGCACCAGGGGATACGCGATGGCCAAGCGCGCCCAGGCCAAGGAAAAGACCGAGCAGAAACGCCCGAGGATCCAGACTAAGACAAGCGCAGCCGGGGCGGACGCTGCCGCGGGAGAGATGGAGCAGCGCTCTAGCAACGAGAACATGGTTCGCACCGTGGTCAACGAGGTTCACGAAGCGATAAGCAAGATCATGGATGGCCCGATGTTTAAGGACATCGTTGAGCAGGAGCCATGCAACATGTCGAGTGGAGGCGCCCAGGCGCCATTCAAGCAGGTTGACATGAGCGGTGTTTTGAAAAAAGATGGGCCTGGGCACTCCTACCAATGCGGCCTCATTTTCACGTGGCAGAGCTTCGCGTGCATGCGCAACCACAGCGTGCCCATCAACGAAGATCAGATCACGGAGCTCCAGAGGTTCGCCTTGGAGCGAGTGAGACCGCCCAGGCACATTCCCTTCGAGGCGGCGACTGCGTTGGACTCAGCCACGCAGTGCGTGATGGGCGCGAAAGGTGCCTTGCAGCGCTTGTCGCCCCCGGAGCCCGCCTTCGCGGTGATTTTCATCATTAGGGGCGCAATCATTCAAGAAGCTGGTGACGGCGCGTTAGGGGAATGGCGCGACGCGCCGTTGCCGGCGCCACTCAGGTTCGAGGCGGCGACAGCAGGGGGCATCGGCATTGGAGGGCCCAAAACCCCCGACAAGAGGCCATCGAGATGGACATCGTCTCCCAACTGTCTGTCCGCCAATGGATCTACGACGTCGTTAGCTCCAAGGCGCCCAAGGAGAAGGGCCCTGGCAGGGGGCCGGGCAGCGCTCAGGTCGCAAAGTACTACCATGAGAAGGTGAAGTGCGCCAGGGGGGCGGAAGGAGTCAGCGCGTCTTTCGTCGACAGCGCCCTCGTTTTACACAGGGGGGCCCTCAGCAACTCCACGGCGCGCCACTGGCTCGAAGGAGCGACGAGCACCTGATGGAGAAGAACCCATGGAGCAAATCGATTCATGCGTTGCAGGCCCTGGTCGATCGCGCGCAGCCGACAGCTCGCATCACCTGGGCCATGCGCGGCCTCACGGAGCTCCATCGCACGGGCTGGGGGTCGAATTCCATGCCCGGGAAGGGGGGGATTGAGAAGAATAAGTTTTTGGTGTTGGAAACAATGGTGTAAACATGTTAGAACAGCACGTTGATCTCGAGGGCTCGGGCGGCCCCAGGGGAAGCGGAGCTCCGGGGGCAAGGACGTATAAATTTTGGTTGGTTGCATGTTTTGGGTTGGTCTTGGCCTGTCACATTGCCTTTGAATGAGCCCCGCCAGGACTACCACCGTCGGGGAGTTCACGATCAGCAGGTTGAAGGACTACAGGCAGAGCTACATCGAGGTCCTCAACCTGAAGCATGCCATGCGCGATGAGTTGCTCCAGACGTGCTTGGCAGGGATCGGTCTCCCAATCGAGCGCGTAAAAAAAAGGAAGGAAGCGTTCGCCGATTTTCCAGAAGCGCGCGCGTCTGCGACGGGCTACCCCGACCGGCCCACGGTGGACGCTACGTGGATGGTCGGAAGGCCCCCATCTTCGGTGGCAGCATGCACTTTGCTGGAAGAGTTGATCTGCACTGTCTCCTATGACGGCCGCTACAGGGACGCTGCGAAGACGAAGGCAAAGGTTGCTGACATCTTGGAGCACGAGAGCGTCAAGCGCGAGATCGACGAGGTCGCCGCGACTCTGGCCCAAGAGCGATCCGCTGCAGCGGTGGCGAGAGGAGAGACGCCTGCAGTGGATGGTGCACCAGCTACATCAGCTCTGTCAACTGGTGCGACGGCTGGGACTTCAGAGCCGAAGGGCTTTCACTTCGTGGAGCAGCAGGACCAGGAGCATTGGGAGGATATCATAAAGAAGCACGTCCAAATGTACGTGGACACCATCGTCGAGAAGGAATCGGCCGCTGAGATGGAAAACGCAATTCGCAATTCCACTCTGGCGACCATCAGGGGCGATCCGACTGGCCCTGCGGTGTCTCACGTCGACGCCAAGCAGAGCGGCGAGCCCTCCACTCGCCCGGAGCTGCGGATCGCCCCCCTGCGCGACGAGAACTACCGCGGGCTGGTCAGGACCGTGCTGAGCGCGCGTGCTCCGGCTGGCGCTACCCCTGGTATACGATCTGGTGAAGTGGTTATCCTGCTAGACGGCGGCAGGAGTGGCAACGCCAATAAACTAATTGCCCCATGGCGCGAGGGGGCTTCGAAGGACAAGACGAAGCACAGCGATGCTGATGAGGGCGAATATGATAAGGAGGACGACTCCGACGACGAGTACGGAACTGAGGTCATGAGCTCCGCCGCCTCTGTCATCATCATCATCTGCTCCGAGGCCAGCACCGCCAACCGCCGCAAGAAGTTGCGCAGCCACACAGGTGGCATTCACCAGTCCGGGTGGTGTCACATGCTCGCACATTCGAAAATCTGCCTGCCAGAGAGGGCACGGAAACGCTATGCTGGCACCACGTCGGGCGACACCATCATGGGCGTCGCTGCGGTCGAGCCCGACATTGAATGGACCATGAGTTGGGCGGACAAGAAGGCGCTATACGGCAAGAAAAACCTCATCGCCGTCGGCGGCAATACGAAAGGTGCGAGCCCAGACGACGTGGTCGAGCGCAAGACGGACTCCGCGCAAGTGCCAGTCACGCACCGCGGAATGCCCCCCGCGTGGTGCGACGAGATCATCCACATGTTTTTTCCTGCGAGGCCGTCGTGGACTTGACGCCGTTGGACGCCCAATTCGCTTGGCAGGCGGTGCTCCACAGCGCGGGGTACGTCGGCATCGCTTTCATCGCGGAGCACACAAGACTATGATCTACGCGAGGCTCGTCGAGTTGATGAAGACCGAGATGTGCCAGACGGGCTCCAAGCTCTACAACGACCAGTACGCGAAGGCGGCAGGGTTCACCGAGACGCCGCCCACAGTGCCACCGCCGAACCATAATCAACGCCGCCCCCGGCGCAAGGCCGCTGCGCCGACTCCCGCGGCTGGCGAGACCCTGGCACTGGCGAGGATGGTATCATTGGTGATCCTGACGGCCAGGCAGAGCCCTGGGATCCCTGTGCATGAGGCGGCATGCATTGCCAGTTGGTTCGGCTGTAGTTGGCTTTCTATCGTGCTGCAATAGGTCATGAAGACCATGGTGCGCAGCATGATTGAATGAGGTGGGCGATGTAGGTGGTAAGGTGATTAGAAGAAGGACCGACGATTGAGGATCCAGCACCTTATTGTTTTTCGTAGGATGCATATCGCAAACATGGTGACCTGCGATCGCCTGGCTGACTCGGCCCGGCTTGCACATCTGGGGAAAATTCGCCTGGGTGCCGCGAGTGAAAAACAAAAACACATATGTACGTAATGCCATACATTGTCGATGTTATATGTGTGCGCGCCGAGATATGACAGCGTCGTTGTAAAGAAAGCATGGTAGGGGGGCATATGCCCCCTACCATCCATAGAAAGACCGGTGCTTCCCTACCGTCCCCTTCGGCGCACTCCAAATGTCACGGGTAACATGGGTCATTGTCTGACGGACTTGAAGGTTTGCCGATCTCCCGAGGGATTCAAATACGCATCGCACGCATGGTTGGGGTTCGACGTCTAGTATCGCTTCCAGAGCTGCGAAAGGAGAGGACTAATAGACCTCTCCACTCGTAGCTCAAAGACGTCCTTGAGCTGCGAGTGGTAGGGTGAGCCCTCTCACTCTGGAGAGGCCGATGAGCATGATGTCTCACAGACCTCTCCAAAGTGAGAGGACTAAGCCAATCCATTCGCAGCTCAAGGACGTCCTTGAGCTGCGAGTGAAGAAGTCGATGGGCCCTCTCCTCTCGCAGCCCTGGAAGCGACCTCGAGACGTTGGGCGGCCCCCGAGGACCACCACGAGCCATGCAATCATGATTCGACTGGGCCCCCGCGGAGCCGACGGGGGCGAGAGGCCGTTTCGAGGGCAACCCCGAGCTGCGAGAGGCCGCTTCGACGACGCCCCCGAGGTGCGAGAGGCGAATTCGAGGGCGCCCCCGAGCTGCGAGCGGCCACTTCGAGGAGAGGTCTGTCGCATCCCCGGGGACGTTCTCGAAGTGGCCTCTCGCAGCTCGGGGGCGCCCGCGAGCTGCGAGAGGCCACTGCGAGGAGAGGTCTGTCAGACTTCCCGCAGCTCGGGGACGTGTTCGAGGACGTCCTCGAGCTGCGAGAGGCCCTCTCGCAGCTCGGTGACGCCCTAGAACTGGCCTCTCGCAGCCTGGGGACGTCTTCGAATTGGCCTCTCGCAGCTCGGGGGCGCCCTCGAACTGGCCTCTCGCCGCCAGGGGGCGCCCTCGAGCTGCAAGAGCCACTTCGAGGAAAGGTACGTCAGACTTCTCGCAGCTCGGCCGCGCTTTCTACGACGCCCCCAAGCTGCGATAAGCCAGTCCGAGGACGTCCCCGAGCTGCGAGAGGTCAGTTCGAGGACGCCCCCGAAGTGCGAGAAGTCTAACAGACCGCCTCCTCTCCCGATTCCTCCTCGCCAATCATGGTCCGACCTTCCCCGTGGCCTGCATCGCCCCCCCTTCTTCATCCTTCCCCATAAGCCTCATCTATAGCAGCGCCGGCACATGCCAATTCGGACCAATGCGCGACACTTTCAAGCGATTGGGCTCGCCCGGGATGGCGCGACAAAGGCGCCGCCTAAGGTGCGCCGCCCAAGGCGCCCGAAAGTATTCAAGCATGGGGGTGATTTCGCAGGCTTGGAACCAACTGCAGCTGCAATGCGGCGCGCGGGCGTGCCGCCGCAGAACGCGCTCGCCAGCGACGCGGCCAAGCCCAGCCAGAAAATCACCCAGGCCGCGCACAATCCTGGCAAGCTCTTCAAAGACATAACAAAGCGCACCCCTGAAGAGGAAGAGGATACTGACGTCTACACGTGGACACCGCCGTGCCAATATATAAGCCAGAACGGTCTTCGACAGGGAGCCAGTAGGCCAAAGCAGACTGGCATGCTTATCAAGAAGGCGATGCAGTACATCAACAACAAGAAGCCCAGGATGACGATCTTCGAAAACGCTTTCACGATGACCCACAAACAATTCAAACCCGTGCTGGATGGCGTCGTCAAGGCCTTGACCAGCATCGCCTACACTGCGAACTACAGCGCGCTGGGTTCACGTGACTACGGCCTTCCACAAGATCGACGCTGGGTGTTCGTGGTGGGCACCAGGACAGACGCCATCAAGCATGCATTCAATTGGCCCCATGTCACAAAGCCTTGCCCCAGCATCAACGCGATCTTGGACGCTTGGAAACCCACCGACAGGGCGAGCCGCCTGCCTACTGTCGAGCGCCAAAAGGATGCGTGCAAGACGGCCTACAAGGAGTGTTTCGCTTACGGGCGCGACCCTCGTTCCACGCCCATCCTGGTTGACATCGACGCTTCGACTAAATTCGCAACCTACGGCAGGCATCGACGAGGCCAAGACCATCACCAGGCCGAGGGGTGGAGATGGTGGGCCTTGGATTTCTACCATGGGGGCGCCGCGCAACGCCGACTGAGTTGATCAAGCTACAAGGTTTCGAACTGACTGATATCCCGTGGACGACGCAGCAGATCAGCAAGCGCCAGGCGGGCCAACTCATCGGCAACGCTGTGTCCGTGAACACGATAGAGGCAATTCTCGTGGAGGCCCTGTGGAGCTCAAGTTTGGTCGAGAAGAAGGTGCCCATCCCGCGTGGAGCGCAGCGTCCGCCTTAGGCTTTTTTTGTAGTTTCGGCTGCTTCGGCCGAGTGCTGCGCGCTCCCAGCTGCGGGGCCAGCCGGATCAGCTGCGACCCGCAGGGGGGGGTGGAAACACATGAGACACAGTTATCCAGCATGCGTCCTGGAAACCTAGGCGTACCTGTCGGTTGCCGCCTGACGTTCGTTTACAACTGAAATTCGACCCCTCCGAAGTGCAAGTTGTAGTGCGAGCATCAACGCCAATGTGATTGGACATTCAGATCTGGCGATGGGGCCCTCGGGTCGCCACCGAGACGGGCGGGGGGAGGTGGGGGTGGCCCTGAACAAGTGAGTGCTCTGCCGCTCGCCATTGGGGCTCAATACTTCATCGCAGCACGTCTGCTCTGCGCGAATAGTGGTCTCCAAGCTGGGGGCTCCAATCTGAGCGAACCAGTTCCCCGTAAACCCTGCGCACCCACGGTGGGGCACGTGGCTTGATGGCAAGCGGGCGAAAGGCTTGGGCGCGGGTTGCAAAGTCTGCCGAGCCGCTGGCTTCGCCGCGACCCCTCTCGGCGCGTACAAAATTAAATCAAAAAGGCGCCATGCAAGTATGCAGTTTAGAAAAGCACGCTCAGCGTGCCACGCACAAGGCTGCCGTGACAGCGTTCCTAGCTGGAAACATGAAGATGCGGCGTTCTCAGTGATGTGCCCGAAGTGGGACACATTCAAACAGGTTGCCGATGAAATCGCTGCTGGCGGAACTTTGCGCAACGAGCGCAGTGCGCATCGGATAATCACGTGGCGCTTGAAGGAGGCCTTGTGCGAAGATGACAGAAAGGAATTGAAGTCAATTAGAGCGATAACTTTGCTTCGGGATCAGCGAAAAAGGTCGGTTGGCTGTGAGATACCGAGCTGTAGATTTGAATTTGGATGAGTTCAGTGGCGCTGCGGGCCAGGTCAGAGACTTCGGAACTGGAGCCGCTAAGAATACAGAAGCTACAGCCAGAATCATGGAGCGAATGTGCACGAAGTTTAACGGCGCACCGAAATACCATTGCTCGGCAACCCCCGCGTTGATGCCCAGCTTGATGGCCCATGTTTGGGAGAGTGGCATGTGCATCGCCGCCGACTCAGCTGGAGATGAACTTCTCGCGAGCGAAATGATGCGCAACCGCTCACTTTCGCAGACGCATATGCCACGCGCGCCAAATCTTAAGTTCGTTCTGCGCGACGCAGCGCACGCCTCGCGGCGCATAAGTTCGCGCCCCATGGAACGCATACCCATGCTTGAGAGACGCAGCGCTGACGATGGCACAAGGCCGCAATTCGGTTGCCAAGCTCGTGCAGGACAGCACCGAGACCTCGCGTGCGTTCGCTGGGCATGTCAAGTCTTCAGGGGGCTCTGTACTTGCATCCGCGATAAGGAACGCGCGAGCCGCATCGCACCGCTTTGAATCCTGGCAGAAACCTCTTGGCCGCACTGCTCTCTGCATGCATGTGAGCGCCAAGACAGCGATGTACGCGGCCAGCCGCCCGGCCAAGGATGAGAACACCGACGAGGCCAAGGAGCGGCTTGAATGGGCGGTCGGCGAACGACGTTCAATGCCTGCGACGATGGCGGATGTGGCTGACGAAGGGATGCGCTCGACGAGAATGCTCGGCAATGATGACGTTGGCACCGCCAGTCTCAATTCAGAAATGCCCCTGTTTAGCAGAAGGATCGATGCGCTGTTTGGTGAGAGCAAGCGGCGCTGAACTATTTTCGGTTTCGCTTCGGCCGTGCGGGGCCTCATCATTGAGTACGAGGTTTGGCACGTCAGCGGCAACTCGCGGAGCATGGGTTTCGAGCGCGCTGTCCCTCGCGACATTGTTAACAGGTGCATTCAGAGGATGAGGTCTTACATGGTCCTGGCGCGCACCAATTTTTGTTGCGGCTGTTGTTTTTCGTTCCCGATCGGGCCTCGCGTGGGGCCCTGGGGGCTGATCTCAGAGGGGCGTGCGCCATTGCCACAGGCATTCCAAGTGTTCGACTTGTCCACCGCGCACCTCCGGGCTGATTTACAGTTGCGGCGGATTGCTCAAGTACTGAATCGCGTTGCTGCCCGCGATCGACCGCCAGCCACTGCCCCCCCCCCCCGCGCCAAACCCACCCCGACGGGGTTCAGCCACATGTCAGGGTCAACATTGCCCGCGAGACATGCCGGGCGCCTGTTCTGCCAGGCCGCGGACGTCGATCCGACAGCGCTGTAGGCTCAGTGGCAAAATGTGCACCCAAGGGCCCGCCAACAATACCAGCGAGGCTTGTCGAATAAGGAAGCTTGGTAATGTGCGATGCAGCGATTATCGGAGATGCATCTCGTGCAAGTATACAACGCCAGCGATCTGATATCAGCTTTGGTTGCAGATGTGGCCTCTGGAATCAGAACGTCGGGGGTTGATCACAAGTTTAGCTTGGCTGCGCTCAAGTTCGACTGTCGCCAGACTCGCGCAGGCGCACGCGGCGAGGACATGTTTCTCCAGACCACTCTGGACTTCCCCAATCGTGACCTCAGCAAAGTCCGGCGCATGTGGCTCGTGCGGGCGCCCTATAAGTGCAGAGGGCCCCACGCATTGACAAAAGGGGTTAAGAGAACACTGCGAGTGATGATGGGGGGCGAAGCTGAATTCATTCGTCAGCGCCGCAAGGCTGCGAGGCTCGCTGACGATTCGATCAGGGAGGTCTGGCCAGGCTCGAACTGGCGCGCCACGCGCCAGGAGGAGCTCGACTTTCTGAAGAACAGGTGCGATGCCAAACGATTCATTGCATACTCGGCGAACGTCCTCCCACCGCAGGAAGTGGCGCATGCTGTCTGCGAAGGCGCCGCCGCCAGACACAAGGAGCAACTTCCTGATCAGTTGGCCTGGGCGCGTAAGACCGAGCGCGCGCGAGCGGCCGCGCCGGGCGCGCCAGCGGCCGCGCTCCTAGAAACTGTCAAGGGGAAACCAGTTTTCGTGGATATATATTGCGGGTCACAAGAGGTGGCTGCCGCACTCATCGCAAATCGCTTGAAATAAGCGCGGGCGCACGAGGCTGCAGTTCTTGTTGTGCAGACACCAGGGCGCACTGGCCCGTTCGCCTCCGCTGCAGCGGCGTCCGAAAAAGGATATGAAGTTACCCCTGGGCCTTTAATTTCAAGCCGTTTTGGCGCTGGGGCCGACATGATGCCCGCGTAACACTCGAAGAAAATAAAGACGCGCGGCGCCCGTTCTGCGAGTATGCGAAAAACCTCATCAGGCGCACTCCAGGCTTCAAATGGAGGCTTGGCGGACGGCAGCCGCGTCGCACTAGCATCGCCGCCAGAGGTGGCACAGCCTGCCTTTCAGAACCATCGTAACACATTCACGAACGATTCGCTCGTGAAGAGAATTTCTTGCGTTTGCATGTCGAGTTCTGCATCGGGCTCGCGGCGGTGCTACTGCAAAAAGTTGCCGAGGCATCAATGTCAATCGGTATGGGGCTGAGTGGGACAGACTGCGAGTTATGAACTTGAGTGCGTCTGAATGTGAGTGAGTATGCGTCGTCACGTTCTGTAGCCATCTTGCGTTCAAGGCTGCCAGAGTATCAGCATTCACTGGCAGAGCGCCCAGCCCCGCCCAACATGCAAGATGCCATGCGTTTTTCCCTCAGCGGCAGTTCGGACGATTACGTGGACCTCGACCAGGACGGCGTCATCCATGCAATTCGCTGTGAAGCAACTGCGAAGATGCGCTCATTGACGGAGGTGGCACAAACCTGGGTGGACGACGACACGTTCGAGCATCGCATGGGAAAGGACGTCAGCGATCTGACCATGATCGCAGCCGCTTGTCTGGGCGCTGGCGGCCGCGGCGACATGCTGATCATGCTGACCGAGCAGCTCGAGCGCACCCAGCAGGTGTGGCGAGTGGCCGGATGGGAATTTACAAGTGGGCTCAATAAGGAAATGAAGGACAAGTGGGACTCACTCCACAATGTGCCAGGTGCCTCCGAGAAGTTCGACCCGGGCGAGTTCCGCAGGGCGGCGAAGGCTTTCGGCTTCGGGCTGCAGGGCACCGCAGAGGTCGGCGACTGGGTCGGGACGTCTGCCCACGCCCACCCGCCCGCTATTCCTACCAAATTGTTCAAGGACCGCAGCCGTTTGCCGCCGAGCCTTGCACCTACGCGCGATTAGGGGCTGGATTATTCTGACGCGCTGGGTCTGAACCCGCTTTCAGACGACGACGCGCAGAAGACGTTGCCATTGAGGGGTCCCCGGGGGTCGGCTGACACAGCCGACGAGGATCCTGAGAATACTTCATCGTAGGGGCGCGGGATTTACGCCGCTGCTTCGGCCGCGGCTATCTGGGGCGCAGAGGAAAAACAAACCAAATTCCTCCCCCTCCCCCCCCTCCTCCGCATCCCCCACCCCTCCTACGCCCCCCCTGTCAACCGTCATCTCCTCCCTCCACGACGCTGGCGGAAATCGATCTACGACTGGCGGCGCTCCGCCAGTCCTCTGACAGTTGAGCGACAACCAACTTGGTTGGGGGGCTGCCCTCTCCCCCGTCAGCCGCCCCTCGACCCTTCGCGGCCGGATCGTGCAAGATGGCCCAACGCGGCACTCAACGACCCATCGTGGCCCCAATGGTTGGCCCAATGATAACCCACGCGCTCCTCATCGTCATTCACCCGCCCATTCCAGCTCAAAAGGTTAGCCCGGGCCCAGCGGTTGCCGCCGCGACCTGCCACGCGGCGGCCGACGACGGCGGCGCCAGTATCGTCGGAGCGGTCCAGAACGTGATTGCAATGTGGCTCGGGGAGCGGCTGTGCCCGCGGCGTTCGACGCCGACTGGCGCCGCGACCGCCCGCGCGGCTGCGCCGGCGCCGACAACGCCAGCGCCGACGCCGACGCCAGCGGCGCCGACGCAGATGCAGCTGACGCGAACGGTAGCTACGCAGAGCCAGATCACCTACAAATGGCGGCGGCATGTTCGCGCCCCTCCCAGAGCACTCTCACGGCGTAAGCTGATCGACCACTTTTTTTGGAATCCGCGCCGTGTTTCTCACCCACGACGCGGCGGAATATGCGCGCGCGTTGGGAGTTAACGCATCGGCGGCTTCGACCGTCCTCCCCCGCCCTCCTTCCCCCCCCTTCCCCCCCGTGCTCGCGCCCCTCGCGGCGGCCCCCTGGCGCCCTCGCGCCCGCGGCGTGGACGCCCCATCGACGTGCCGAGGTTCGAGGTCTCATGGACGGACGGGCATATGGACCCTTTGCCTCGTGCTTTGAATGGGCCCTCCCCCCATCGCCAATCCCTGCCCCTGCGCGCTCCTGGCCGCCCCAACTCGGGCGCGGGCGGGCCACCGGCTGCTTCGGCCACGCCGGTCTCATCCTCCTTCTCCTCCCCCGTAGCCAAGTGCTGGCTCAATTTGAGCGCGCCCCACTCAAGTTCACTAACGTGAACGGGCCGTCCCATGACTGGGGCGTAGTGCGCGGCGCAGATGGATTTCGATGCCACGCGGTCGGGCCCCGCGGCGGACCCTGCACCTCCCGCCCGATGCTGCCGACGAGGCAGCCGCCGACGAGGCAGCCGACGTCATCGACGCCAACGGCCCCAGCCGACGCGGCCAACGCGTCCGGGCCCCAGCCGACGGCCGACGACGGCGAAGTTTTGGATCAAGCCATGCGGATCAACTGGGAAGTCAACAGGGCGCACTTGGTGGCGCAGGACTCGGTCATCAACATCAACGGCGTAAGCGCCATGGTCAAGATGGCGACGCACGTGCTGACTTGGCACCACATCGAGGTCTTCGACACCCAGAAGGGCTTGCTTGCGCGTGGCGTGCATTACGCTGCTCCGCTCCGCATTTTGCTGCCAGCGTCTTGGCGGTTGCGGATCAGGCTGATATCCCGGCTAGAAGCCCAGTGGAACCGCGTCGCGGCGATGCTGGCCCAGATCAAGCTCCTGCAGCGGCTGGCGGACAATCCCGACGACGAAGATGCGGTGGGCCCGTGGGGCGAAGAGGCTGGCAGCGACGACGATGCCACTGAGGCGGGGCCCGCCGCGGCGCCGGGCCGTAGCTGACAGCGCCGCTAATCGGCTGCTTCGGCCGCAATAGTTTGGACAGATGTCCTCCTCCTCCCCCCCCCCACCTCCACCTCCCTCCTGGGCCCCCCCCCTCCGCCCCTCTTTCCTCCAACCTCCGTTTCGTCGTTCTTACGGGGAACGCGCCATGCAGTCGTCGAAACTTACGCGGCGGCTGGGCGATGATCCTTACTCTCATTGCCCAGTCTGCCAACTGCGTCACTCCTCCTCCTCCTCCCCATCTCCCCCGCCCCCCCTGCAATCATCGCTGTCGCCCGGGTGCTCCGCGGGCGCCGGTTGAGCTCGCGAGGCCGCGCATCGGAAATCTGCGAGAGGCATCGACGCAGACTCTGCAAGTGAGGCAATGAAGGCGCGTCGCCGCTCATCCTAAGAGACTTGCGGACATCGGGGCGCGGCGGCGGCGCATGCGTCGCATGCGCCGCCGCCGCGCCCCGACGCCCGCAAGTCCGCCGCGGGGCCCGCGCGCGGAAGTGAAACAAACGACCCGCCCGCGATAGCTTAAGCAATCGAGCTCGCAGTTCGCGAGAAATTACCCTGGCGACGTACCCAACCCCTGCGCAAAAGCGGGGCGCAAATAGTTTAGGATACTTTATAAGGGGGCGATGACGGAGCGAGGGTTACATATGTCTGCAGACGGAATTCGGGAGACTCGCAGGACACTGGCTACAGGAAAAGGGCTTGATAAAGCTGATGATTTACAATTCCTGAGCACTCCTAGCCACTTCGAAAACGGGGATCACAGCAGGCCTCGAAAGTGGCGACAGGTTCACAGATCGCAGCCCCGCAGGGATGGCGAGGTCTCATTTGAATCTGCCCGTGGCCCTCACTGTGCTGGGCCCCCCAGCAGGCCTCGAAAATGGCGGCAGTTTCGCAGATCGCAGCCCCCCAGGGATGGCGAGGTCTAATTTGAATCCGCGCGTGGCCCTCACTGTGCTGGGCCCCCCAGCAGGCCTCGAAAATGGCGACAGTTTCGCAGATCGCAGCCCCCCAGGGATGGCGAGGTCTAATTTGAATCCGCGCGTGGCCCTCACTGTGCTGGGCCCCCCAGCAGGCCTCGAAAATGGCGACAGTTTCGCAGATCGCAGCCCCCCAGGGATGGCGAGGTCTAATTTGAATCCGCGCGTGGCCCTCACTGTGCTGGGCCCCCCAGCAGGCCTCGAAAATGGCGACAGTTTCGCAGATCGCAGCCCCCCAGGGATGGCGAGGTCTAATTTGAATCCGCGCGTGGCCCTCACTGTGCTGGGCCCCCCAGCAGGCCTCGAAAATGGCGACAGTTTCGCAGATCGCAGCCCCCCAGGGATGGCGAGGTCTAATTTGAATCCGCGCGTGGCCCTCACTGTGCTGGGCCCCCCAGCAGGCCTCGAAAATGGCGACAGTTTCGCAGATCGCAGCCCCCCAGGGATGGCGAGGTCTAATTTGAATCCGCGCGTGGCCCTCACTGTGCTGGGCCCCCCAGCAGGCCTCGAAAATGGCGACAGTTTCGCAGATCGCAGCCCCCCAGGGATGGCGAGGTCTAATTTGAATCCGCGCCCACTGTGCTGGACCCCCCAGCAGGCCTCGAAAGTGGCGACAGTTTCACAGATCGCAGCCCCCCAGGGATGGCGAGGTCTAATTTGAATCCGCCGCGATTACCCTCTATGCAGGACCCCCCAGCAGGCCTCGAAAGTGGCGACAGTTTCACAGATCGCAGCCCCCCAGGGATGGCGAGGTCTAATTTGAATCCGCCGCGATTGCCCTCTATGCAGGACCCCCCAGCAGGCCTCGAAAGTGGCGACAGTTTCACAGATCGCAGCCCCCCGCAGGCAAGACAGAAAGAGGCAGGAAAGAGGCGGGAGGCGGGAGGAGGAAGGACGCGACCACACTGCTCTATTCAAAACGAATGCCCAACGAAGGAGGGTTGGGAATAAAACCGCTGATCACTGCGGCGCGCGGGCGCCCGGGCTTCGCCGAAG